TTTAACATACACTTTTACCTGACTATTCACCCAAACAGGCGACTTCCTCTCTTCATCACCTGGTCACCTGAGTCCTGCCCTAGCTTGATTGCTCTCCTAAGTGCTGCTCTTCTCCATCCCCGGCACTGTACCAGGGCCTTTGGTGCCAGCTGCAATGTTCTGCATCCTGACTTACTGCTTTGATGTAAGGCAGTGTGGGAGGAGAAGAGGGGGAGCTGAAGAACGGGTGGGGGTGGGATGCCCCAAAGGAGAGAAGAGCACCCACTTTTGCAGCTGGGCTCTTTATGATGCTATGCTCTGAACCAAAGCCAATGCTTTTCCATCTGACAGAAGAAATGCTGAGAAAACATTTTTATTTTACTGTATACTTGTCAAATGCAAGAAGCATTTAAGTTGCTAGAATGTAATGTTATATTCAATACGTTTAATAAAATTGTAATGGATTCACTTTTTTTGACACTGAAAGAAATAGCCTCCCACCGGACAATGGAAATTATGATGCTTTTGCTGCATCCATCATCAAAAAGGGATGTGTGAAGCCTATCAGAGCTGATTGCAGTCACTCTGGAATTGCTCTTAGGAACAAAAAGGGAAGTAGGGCTCCGTAGTTACAGCGCTCCCCCTTCCTTTTGAGGCGGCACATGTTTGTGAGCGAACTCAAAGCCTGAGCTCTAGAAGGCCTGACTGCCCGAGGTTACCAGAAGAACTAGGGCCGGAGGCGTCAGCTTCTTGGAAATGTGTCTTGGGGCAGCACAGCGCTGACAGCACAGCAGCAAGGGCGATGAAAAGGGAAAGAGGATTATTTGATGGGTTTAACCCTTCAGTGGAAGGAGGTAGAAGTAGCGGCAGGAACCGCCCTCTCGGGTTTCCTTCCCCCGACATCCTGTGCGACCTGCTCCGGGTGCTCACCCTTGTGTGGGGTGAATAGGCCTGAAATAGGTGTGATGTTAATGATGTTAATGGTCCCTCTCGGCTGCTGCTCCTAATGCTCACCGTCACTCCTGAGTACTCATTTAAATGGAAAAGCACAGGGGGCTGCCAGCATCCTAGGAAGGAGCCTGAAGTCATCCCATTTCTTGACTATGGTTCAGGCCTCTTGTAGTAGTTCCCTTTTCCTTCCGTGTCTCAGTACAGTGAAAGTATTTCAGTCCAACCAGCTTTACCTCACTCAAGCTGTTTGATCAGAGGTTGGGGCTAAGATCTCACTGCACTCTTAAATACACACAGAGAAGGTAAGATTCTTTCCCTTGGTCTTAGAGAGGCAGTTTAACTAGCAACATCTCAATGCAAACATCTCTACATCTAGACTGTCGAGAAGACTTTATTTACTGTGTCATTGTGGAAGTTTTCTTAGATTAGCTTCTTAGGTTTTTTCATAAACATGAACAAAATTCCAGGAAAGAAGAAACGAAGGCTGGCATTGTGGTGCACCCTGTAATCCTTTGTCTTTGGGGACCCAAACCAGGAAGGTCATGAATTTGAGGACAGCTTGGGAAACAGTCAGGCCCTCCTCTCCAGTATTATTGCTATCATAAAAAGAAACAATATTTTTGTGTCATCAGTCAGTTTCCTACCAATACTTGCTCCATTCCCTTTGAAAAAGGGCTTCGTGTCTTCCTCAGTTCCACATTCTTGGGGAGCCTTACTATAATCTGACAGTGTTGTCAATATTATCTTTTAATATCTATACTGAAACTGAGAAGCAGAAATCCACAGTGCGAAAAACAAAAAAACCCACACATATGAGGACAATTCAAGCCTCAGGGACACTGAACACCTTCCTTGACTGGGCGGCACAGTTTCTTCTTTTTCATGCGCCTTTGCCCTCTTGTTGGATTTGCTATGTTCCTTCTATAACTTTGGACACCACTGATGTGCACCATTGTCAGAACCAGCTTTCCTCATCTCTCTCATTCATTTCCCAGTTCTTATCTGCAAGAGGCCACTGTCTTTTACAGAAGGTCAGATTTGAACCCTTCAAAGGATCCCACTCCAGTTTACTTGGGTAGTTTCTCTGGTACCCCCTTACTTTCCAGGCAGTGTGGCAGTGGGAAGGGTTTGGGTGTATTCAGAATTAAAAGGACCTACATTTTAATCCCAGTTCCACTACTTACTAACACTGTTATCTTGAGCAGGTTACTTAACCTGTCTACTCCTCTATTTTATAACTATGTGAGCATAGTAATTTTTTCATTTTGCATGATTCTTGTCTGGTATAATTGACATAATAATTAAGAAGAGCCTAGAACAACACTTACTAGATTCTTAATGTTGGACTCTGTATTAGTCACTTTACTGGGAAAAAATGGCTCAAATCTGAAACTTAAAAGAGGGAAGGTTTATTTTGGCTAATGGTTTTAGAAGCTTCAGTCCATAGTTGGTTGGCTCCAGGGAAGAAAAGTCATAGCAGAGAAGTATAGTAGAGGAAAGCTGATCAGCACGTGACAGTCAGGAAGCAGAGAGAGAAAGGAGGATCCCGGGACAAGAATACGGTACCATTCCGGATCATGCACACTGTGACCCTACTTCTTTCGACCATGGTTAATCCACTGATGAGTATAGAATGCACACGATCAGATCACCATCTAAAGGTCCCACCTCTAGACACATGACACTTTTGGGCTTAGCTCCTCAGGACTAGCTCACCAAGAGCCTATCACAACATGTGTGCAGTGTCAAAAATATTTTGTATTGTACATATGGAAGAATAACACTACACATTCATGGAAGAAAAAAAGAAATTTCTTTCCCTGTGAGTTCACCTTTTAAAAATGACATAGCAAATATCCTAGAGCACTAGCAACCAGCATTCTGCAAATCCTAATGTTTCTTATAGTAAAATGATGAGAGAAGCCTGCTCATATTTCACTTTGGTCTTTCTGCCTGATCTCTGATTTTTTCGTAGCGTAAAGATTCCAGCCTGGTTATATGTGTATGATTATTGTGGAAGAGATCTTTAGGGATGGGATTGGGTTTTACTTGTCTTTTTTATTCTAGAACCCAGCACAAGATGTTTTAGATGCTCAAATAAGTCTATTGAACAAATAATTATTGAATGTAATTTTATGAACTAATTAAATTTCAATTATTGTATGTTCAAATAACATTCTATTGTCTAGTTCGTACCGGAGCTGTTTCACTGCTTTCTGCTTGGTAACTGGGTTTGGGCTGTTCATTTTGGGGGTGGGAGGGGCGTATGTGTGAGGGAGTTGTCTGTACCTGGAGAGAGAGCGTGTGATTGGCTTCACCCTTCGCACTTCCTCTTTGTGCTTTTGTTGTCTCTCACGTCTTCTTCACCGACTGCAAACTGCTTGAGGACAGAAACCATGGCTTACCCTTGATGTCCCCATGTATCATTTCTTACTGCTTGCGACACGTGTTATTTGGTAAATATTGGTCTCATGGATGAATACGGTAGCAAAGGAAACATGAAGGAAGATTTTCTTTGGGACTTTTTTTTTATTTTAGAAATAAAAGGAGGAAAATACTAACAGATCGACAACGTTTTACAAAATAGCAAACGATCAGTACAGACATTACAGAGTTACAAACAGAGTGGTAGGGAATTAACAATGCTTAGGGACTTTTCTATGATTTTGGAAAGGAGACACTTTTCTTTATCTCTTCCCATCCTCTCTGATTTATACCTGTCTCCTCCATAACTCTGTTCCATTGAGCTGCTCTGGATTTATTTTTCTTTGGTCCCATCCTTGTAAATGCCACATGATTTGTGGACAAGGACTTAGGAATGAAGAGCAAACAGACTGGGATTTAAATCCTAAACCCATCCTTTGCTGGTTGTGTGATTTTGGGGAAGGTGTGTAACCCCATGGTGCCTGCTGAGTCATCTATGAAGACGAGTAATAGCGGGTCACCCACCTGGTGTAGCTGTTTTTTGTTTTTGTTTTTTTCCGGCACCAGGAATCGAACTCACAACCTTACGCTTGCCAGGCAGGCACTGTGCCGCTGAGCTAAATCCCCAGCCCCGTGTGTAGCTGTTTTTGTAACGGATCTGCTCTTCAAAAGGGCCATATACATAGCTGGTATTTTTAATATCCTTATTTTAATTCTCTGGCTATCCCAATTACTACTTCATTTTTGTATCAGAAGACAGGATTTCTAACCTCAGCTATTCTGTAAGCAGCCATTAGACTGCCGAAAAGTGCTGGGGAGTGGAATCCTATGAACTTTTACAACCTTGCTTTGTCGGGAGGCTCCTATTATTTTGGAGGTCGATCAAAAACCTTAATGAGAGTAACCACCCTGCCTTATAAAGTAATGCAAGAATAAATGTGAATTTTCACAATCAGCCCCCCAATTATAAAGCAAAGAGTTGGAGAGTTAAGTGACAGGTAGAGAGTCTAAGGATATAACATATATGTAAATTTAGGGTTTTTCTCTTGTCTCCCTCTCCATTTATTATAATTCTAAAAGGGTTCTCTCTCAACAAGACCATTATCCCTCATGGATTTAAAGACTACTTCACCAGCATTTTTTCTTGGAATAATGGAATTTGCTGGAATAAACTATTCAGCTCAATATTTTTCATCTTCTAATACAGAGTTATTTGATTCCTATAAATCTGAGTAGGGTCAGTCAGGAAATTATACATATTTGCTTTCTACAGGTTATATGAGCTATAAAGTCATGTTGCATTTATTATAGATCATGTTTGCTGCTTGGCAAGATAATCTGAATGATTGAAAGCAGTATTTTCAAACATGTTACCCTGAGAAAACAACTAGAAAAGAGGACTAAGCAAAGTGTTTCTTATGATAAATACTTAAAGTACATAAAGCATTCTGTTGTGACTCAAGTTTATGTTTGAAGTTTACACTTATACACACAAGTATCCACAAAATCTTGTTCTGTATTATGCATACTGTTCAATCTTACAGTTCCTGTATGTAATTTTTCATATAAGCACATATTTATAACACTGAGTTTTTAAAATTTGGACCTCGTGTAATCTGTGTGTATTTTCCTATTATATCTTCCAGCCTCAAATATGTGGATGTTTTCTTGGCTTTGTGTCATTTTAATCATTTTGGCTATTGCTGACACGGAGGCGGCAGCAAAGACCACAGCCTATACCAAGTTTACAAAGAAATCTGATGGGAAAGAGATGCCAAAGGGTGTAAAGCTGTCTAGTAAATTGCCTCAGGAAGAACAGGGAACGTCGCTCACAGAAATGGCTGCGATGGTGGAGCCCACCACGGACCCAGAGGCCACTCTCTTCCCCTTTGAAAACTTCACTCTTGACACAGCTGATTTCTCTTTGAATTGTTGCCATTGTTGCTCACCTGTCACTGGGCAGAAAGGAGACCCAGGGCGGCCTGGAAAACCAGGTATTTGAAAATATATGAAGCTCAACTTCTCATCTGTACATTCTTGGAGAGGCCGATTGGGGCATGAACTGCTCCAGGGGGTTTTACACTGTCATTCCAATGGTGACAGGTTTTGTGAGCCATTGTGACAAATGCAGGTGGATACTGTGCTTCCCAGTGTGGTTATTAATAAATATTAAAATTAAAATTCAATAAGGTAAAAAATTCAGCTCAACAGCCACAGCCACATCTCCAGTGCTTGATAGCCATGAGCAGCCAGTAGTGAGTCTACTGGGCAGAGCAGAAACACCGAACATTCCTGCCACTGCAGAAAGTTCTACTAGACCGGGCTAGCTGGAGCCAGGCAGAGACTACTGATCCCAGCGCTGGGCTGTAGTTCTGCAAGTCGCACAGGTTTATTACCTGCACAATCTTTTCATTAATGGCTGACTTAAAAAAGGCAAATGAAAATTCCATTGCCTGGTAAGAACGTGTGCTGACGGATGGGTTTTTCTAAGTGCCGTCTGCAGTTAGGGCTAGAAATGGAGCTCCTATGCGGTGGAGAGTGAAGCGCGGGAGTCAGTGTGCTGCTCATTGACATTCGGGAGCGACGCTGCGCTCCTGCTCGGCAATTTTCTCCACTGAACGCTGTCGGTGTGTGTTTCAAAATTTCAGATGTCTTCAATACACACCTAATGAATATACTCTCAGTTTTATTGTAAGACATTTTGACTCTCACATGTCAGACAGAGGAGAGAATTGAATTCAAATTAAGTTCACAATGTCAATTTCAAATTCACTAGTCCCTGAAAATATACATATAAATGTTTGTTACTTCTTCCTAGAAGAATTTAAAGTTATAAAACCAGGAATTATGTGCCTCTGCAAAGCTTTTCATTCATTTTACACCAGTATAGGGATATTTTGAGGAATCTGCTCAGGGCTTATGGAGGGCTGGATTCAGGAGTAAAGAACACGGGCCGTAGCCTGGGTCATCGTTTACATGTTACTGAAAGTGCAGTGAAAACAAAAAAGGCATATTTGCCAGAACTTCCGTTAGTACCTACTTGACTGGCAAGCTGCTTGAGGGTGGAAGCTCCAAGGACACTGCCAGGTGGACGCAGCTGATTGCTAACCCTCTCTCCAAGGCTCTGCGTTCTGGAACATCAGGGCTTTTGTTTCACCCAGTGGGGGATTTCCTGTGCTGTTCTCAGAGGTCAGCTTCTCTCGACCCACGTGGCCAACATTTTGAATGCATGCCAAGTTATTAGTCTGTCTGGGGGTCTCATCTGTCTTAGTCCGACCCATGCTGCCATACAGCATAGTTCTTCAGAGCTCAGCGTGTTGAGTCCACACGGTGCTGCCTTAGGAAAGCCTTGTTTCTTGAAGTCTCAGTTTCCAAGATGGTAAAATGGGATTAGAATAATATCGACTTTGTGGAATCATAGGATGAATGGGAAAATACATACAGGAACTTAGTGGGGTGCCTGGAGCAGAATAAGTGCTTAATAAACTATTTTTATTTTTCTAGTTAGCTGTGGTAGGAGCGTGGTCCTACTTTGTGCAATACTCCGAGCATAATATTGAGGCTCCTGTTTTGAGATGCAGAGAGACATATTATTTCAGCTTTCCCAGTGTCCTGAAAAGCACTACTGCTCCTCCCCTTGCCTGCCCTCCCCTCTTCTCCTCTCCCCTCTCTTCTCTTGGAAATCACCCTCACCATTGGAAATTTCATATAAAAGCAACACTGAGGAAACTTAAAAGCGAAAAACAAACCTATGCAAATTAAGTTATTTTATTTTTCTTCATTATTTTCCATCCTTAGTCACAATGAACAAAAAAATAAAATAAAATACAAAACTTGTGAACATATTTTGCCTTGTTTACTTTTAAAAGTCACCAGACTATCTTCATAGAGTTTCTGAATGTACTTGTCTTGAAGGATGCCGATATATCTAGTGGTCGGCAAAGACAAAATTCCGCTTCAAGCTTTATCTCCTGGTTCTCCCTTTGGTTAAGTTATAATAAGGGATACTAAATATTAAGAATGGCTGGACATTATAAAATTGCTGAAAACATTATTACGTGTCACCTGATGATTTGATCAGGAAGAATTTGGTAAATCCACATGTTGCAACACCTGCAAGTGCAGAACCTGGAGTCAAAATCCAGGAGTGCACCTGCAAGCCACAGCTTCCCTTCAGTTCAGCCTTGTGGCACTGACGTGAATCATACCTGAATGTACACTCTCCTAGAGGCAATAGGCTGCCCCCCCCACCGTGCTCCCGCTGCCTACCTGGGCCCGGGAGGGAACCATGTCTAGCCTTTGGGGGCCATGGGAGGGGAGACATCACACAGTGAAATGTAATTGGCTATCCAGCCTACTCTCGCTCTTCTGCTTGTTCCTTCTTCTTTACCTCCCGTCCTTTATTCTCTAGACAGAGTTTAACCATCACCTTCGGTTATTTGAACCTGCAAGCAATGTATTAAAGGTTTTCTTCCAAACAAATATAATATTCCTTCAATGAGGAATTCCACTGAGTATAATTTTCTCCATTCCATTAGTCTTTGTTATAATAATTAAGGTAAAATATTATAATTTCATTGACTACACATATTTGTACAGTTAACTTTCAAAGAAATTAGCCTTAAAGTATTCCATTTGGGAAGCAATTCCTGTGCCTTGAACAGGACTGTGGATGCTGGAAGAATAATTGTCCCTAAGTGGGAGGGACCTGGACTGCCCAGTGGAGCAAGGACGCTTGCTGAAGTCTGAGCCCGGCGTGATCTGACCTTTGTGTACAGACAAAAGGAGAGAGAAAGGAAAGCTTGTGGCAAGGACAGACTTTATTTAACATAAAGATCGAGAGGAGTCCTTGGCTCCGAAGTGCCAAAAGCAGCTCTGTCTTCAGAGCTGGGGTTTCCAAGGTGGTCCGGGGAGTGAGGAAGTTAAGGGCCTGCTGTGCTGGGCTTGGGTCTTTGGGTCTGTGGCCACTGGTCCATCTCATGTTTGTGCAATGTTTTCTATTCACGAAGCTGGACACCCTTGGATCTGGAAGGTTTTGTACAGTAAACACGTCTAATGGGTGTCAGAATTACGGGTCACAGAAGGATGTGAGGAAGGGTTGTAACTCATGGGAAGGTGTCCCCTCGCTTTCTCTCCTGCGTTACCTGGTTTTAGATGCCTCTTGTTCATGAGCACCACCCCCACCCACAGTGCTCTTTTTTCAGTTGCATAAACGCACCACGGTCTTTTCCACTGTCACTTTTCCTGAAATAATTGCCTTCTCATTTTTTCCTTAGGAAATTACAGTCTACTCACTGGGTCTCTGTTTAATACTACTTTCTCAGGGAGTTCTCTTCTGAGGCCATAAATATTAGTTAAGTTCTTTTCACCATAACTTACCATATGACCTTCCCATTTTCCCTTACGTATTAACTACAGCATAACTATTTCTCTTCATTTGCGTGTTTGCTCAATGTTTATCTTCCATAGAGTCTCAGCTCTGTGGGAGTGGAGAGTGCTGGTCTATTGAGGGCTGAGTGCCCCATGGGTGGCCTCAGGAATAGGTCCTGATTGAAAGACTAAGAGAATGAGTGGGAAATGCAAAAGTGCAAGGTAGTTCGTTTTTGCTTCCAATTTGCAAGTGTGGTCCGCATGAGGTTAAATGTCAGGTAATAATTTTGTTCTTGTTGTTTGATATAGTGCTGCTTCCCTGAATCATTTGATCACTGCCACGAACACAGTGACAAGTACTAATGGGCTCAATTTATCTATTCAGGTAGTACAAAATTGCAAATCAGACAAAAATATCACCCTTAGCAGTCTGTAATAGTTTATTCTCACAGATTTTATCATCAAGGCATTGACAGTTAGTAGTTTCAATGAAATGACTTTTTCCACCTCTCCATAAACTATTGAACTTTAAAAGAGGATTTTTCTATCTTGATGGTTTTAAAACCCTATTTCCAGGTCCTAAAGGAGAGGTTGGTGATATGGGGATCCCAGGCCCACCAGGAGCCATTGGACCCCAAGGGCCAAAAGGTCACAAAGGAGAAAAGGGTAGGTAATTGATTTCATTTCCTATCAAAACTCTAGGGATATTTGGTATCATTTATCAGGAGATTCATTTTCTAAGTAAATACTAGATTCTTGAATGTGAGTAAAATTGTAAAAATGCTAAGTATTTGATAAAGCATATTGTGAGGTAATCTGACATGAAAATGTTTATAAATAGCCAATTGAGAGATTTTGTTCCCCTGATAGAGAACATCACACACATCACACACACACACACACACACACACACACGAGTGTTTCTAATGTGGCATTTCTGTCTCATCAGCCACTTGTCTGACTCAGTGACTGTAAATCTTAAGGTAAAGTTTTTGGAGAGAGATCCTTTCCTATCCACACTTTGATTTTCTTTCTTGTGATGCAAATTAATTTCATATTAGATGGAATTAGCAAGCAATCATCTAGAATATTCAGTGGAGGCGTATAGCCTGTCTTCTAAGGAGAATTAGACATTTCCTTTGGTTCACTCTGGTATCATAGGCAGTACCAGAAGTGGGTAGAGAATTGAGTTAAAGCAGAAGTATTAAGATTATAACAGTAACTTTGGACCAGTCATTTTGCCTTGCCTGAAAATTTGGGGGAATGGATTAAATATTTATTTATATCCTGCTTACTATCAAAGAAGGCTTGCAGTTATGATGCTTGAATAGATCTTTTCCCACACAGAAATCCTATAATTCCATAAATGTATCAGTAGAAAGGTTTTGTGCTTCATAAAATCCATGGTTTTGTAAGTGCTTGAAGGTACTGAGAAAAGTTACAGATTCGCAGGAACATTTAGAAATTCCTCAGTAAATACCAGCATCCTGTAGAAATATCATCTATCCATCAAGTTCAATGTTTTAGCCTGTGTCACACATCAAAAGCCCTAATATCATATATAGATCTCCCTCCATATGGCTCTGGAACAGCCTAACTCATTTCTTCTAGAACATTTGGTGAAGTAATTACTGAAGAAAGATGCTAAGGTAAGAAAGGGCTACTTCACACTTGTCAGTTATGTGATTTTCATTCTTGGAAATATTTAATCCTTTTGTGGGTGAATTCTGCTAGCAGAAAACCCCTTGGAATAAAGATTAGTGATGAACTTCCCCAGCAATTCATACATTTTGGAAACTAGACTTCTGGAAGTAGAAGAAAATAGTGGGACGTATCATAAGATAAGGTTCTTAAGAATATGCTTTGATGAAGATCAAAAGTAGAAATTCATCCATCCAGTCCCTATAAAGTGGCAACTCTGCTTTACTTTAACTCCGTGACTTAACTTGCACTTTTTGTTTTGAAAGTTTAAAAAAAAAGAATGACTACATTCTTGATTATCATTATTTGATTGCATAAATCCAGCATAAGCAATTAAGCTCCTTATATAAACGTGGGAACCTAGATAATTCTGTGGGTGAAGGCTGGTGTTTAATTATTGAGGAGGTCCAGGAATAGAGTTGGCCCTTTCTATTCACATTTGGATTTTCTCAAAATGCATCCAGATATTTTCCTGATGGGCTATGGTTGACATTCTAAGTTTTATATTTTATGTAAAGTATTAATAGGGGAGTTAGCTGCTTAGAAAACTCTATTGCATAATCCGTGATGGGATTTCTGTAGTAGTCCACAATAGAGAGTCTAATTTCATCACTTTTAATGTGAGCCAGGATTTTTTTTCCCTGACAAAAAATGAAACAAAATGTTTGCCTTATCATACATAATGTAGCTGGTAAGTTGATGACACCATGGTTATATACAGTTAATTTTGACTCCATAAATTTTTAAATTTTCTTATAACTTTGCTTTCTTCTGTGATAAAATGATGAAAAATATCTTCTTCACCATTTGTGAAGGGAGGTGCTGTGCTATAAACTTTTGTAAAAAAATTCCAGTTGATAGAATGTGCTGTTATGTAAACCTTACTGTTATATGCGATGACGTTAATATCAAGTAAAATTATATTAAATTTAGAAAGACCAGACTTTTAAACAGTGTTGAGTTTGGATTAATATTTGGTACAAAGTAAATTCTCTATACAATTATCTCACAATTAACTATTTTTAATGCTAGTCTTACACTATTTTCATCTACAATTAAAATTAATCTATAATAGGATGGTTCACCTGAAACACACTAGGCTCCTAGTAAGACTCTATATAAAAATCCATTGTATGAAAATATAGTAAATATATAACAATCTAGCTCTTTCAGTGTTTTTCAAATATGAGTTCCCATAGTTTTATAATTTTCTATAAGAATGTATGAAAATTGTTCCAACATGAAAGGAAAATTGGTTTTTCTTTGAAGCTCTCTCTCAAGGACAATTTCCATTCCTGGATAGATTTTGTTTTGACTAGCTTTGGCTGATTGCAGATATTCATGCTCTGTGTTGAAACTTGTATGGTGGATGGTATTATATCTCAGGCATACAAGGAAAAAGACATTTCACCTGCTAATTAAAATTCATAATAGGAAGAAATGCAAATACATATAGAATACAAGCAGATATCATGAGTTTTATGAGAGATTTGAAGAGTCATGAGAAGTCACTGGGAAAAACAAATTCTACTTAAAGGATTTGGCATTACTTCCCAAATCTCCTTAAAGTGATTTACTGTTAGTTGGAATTAAGTACTTCCAACTATTTTTAAAGAATTCTTCACTCAGATTAATTTACCTTTAAACTATTTTGATTAAGGAAAACAATGGAGTGTGACATGGGTGTGAGAGTGATGTTAGACATATCTGAAGTAATACAGTTGGGAAAAATTAATCTTAGTGTCATTTTAGGACTAAAGGGAGCACGTGGGGACCAAGGAACAAGTGGAGTTCCAGGATACCCGGGAAAACCCGGAGAACAAGGTAAGTGCAGAACATGTCTGTTATGCAGTCACCGGCTCGGTACAGTGCTTGGTTCTCTTCCTGTTGATACTTAAAGTTGTCAGAGAGATCAGATGGAAATAGAAATTACTATTATTTTCCTAATATTCAGTGTAGTGATTGCAGGGAGTGGATTCGGGAGTTTAGAACCTAGGTAAAAGCAGCTGAGCTCTGCTCCTGTCTGCTCCTCTCTCCAGCTGAAAGAAAAGAGAATACCTGAAAAATACCCAGGTTTTGATTTTTGTGCCTGTCTTGGGTTGAGATAGATGACGTGGAGATTTAGGAAACTACTTAGGCTAAAATGGAAAGGGTAATGGAATGCATCGAGCAGCTATAGTTCTAATACTTTTTATTATCTTAAAAGTAAAATAAAAACAAGATATAAGAGTTCTGAATTTAAGCTATTGTTTCTTGGAAGCATCAATTTTTCCCCTTCTGGGAGCACGGTGTGTTACAAGTTGGCTTTTGTGTTTACGACTCCTAGGCGTAGCCTTCACTGAGTGAAGAACCAGGTTCCCAGGCCTCAGTTAGGTTTCATTTCTGTGTTTTGAGCTCTGCGGTAAGAGTATACTGTCTATAGCCGGTGTGATCCTGAAACATTCTTTTAATGCTCTGTTTCAGGTGGACTTGGCCCTAAGGGGGATAAAGGAGACCTTGGCCTCGCAGGAGAAAAAGGACAAAAAGGCTCAAAGGGGGATCTGTGTGGGAACTGCACCAAGGGAGACAAAGGAGACCCAGGAGCCATGGGCTCCCCAGGCTCGAATGGAGGCCCTGGGGCCAAGGGAGAGAAAGGAGAGACCGGAGAGAAAGGCTACCGCGGAGACTCAGGGGAGCGGGGAGGGAAAGGGCAAAAAGGTGAGCAGGGGATGAGCGGAGAAAGAGGCAGCAAAGGAGACCCTGGGACGGAAGGCAGGAGGGGCCCCGACGGGCTGCCTGGGGCCACGGGCGAGCCAGGCCCTAGGGGAGAAAAAGGAGAGTTAGGCCCTCCTGGCTTGGTGGGACCTGCCGGGCCAAAGGGTGAGCATGGGACGAAAGGAGTCCGAGGACCAACGGGCAAAAAGGGCTCGCGGGGTTTCAAGGGCTCCAAGGGCGAGGCGGCCAAAGCCCCACATTCAGCTTTTAGCGTTGCTTTATCAAAGCCGTTCCCGCCTCCTCACACCCCTATCAAATTTGACAAGGTTCTGTACAATGACCGAGGGGATTACAGCCCTATCACTGGGAAATTCAACTGCAGTATTCCTGGGACCTATATGTTTTCCTATCATGTCACTGTGAGGGGCCGGCCTGCTCGGATCAGCCTGATGACCCAGAATAATAAGCAGTTCAAGTCCAGAGAAACTCTCTATGGCCAAGAAATCGACCAGGCCTCTCTCCTCCTCATCCTGAAATTAAGCACAGGAGATCAAGTGTGGCTGGAGGTGTCAAAGGACTGGAACGGCGTGTACGCGGGTGCTGAAGATGATAGCATTTTTTCTGGGTTTCTTCTGTACCCAGAGGAAACTTTTGAAATTTCACCATAAATCTGGGTCCTAAGCCCTGTACCTTGAATTTAGGGGAATAAGTCAGTTAAAATAGAACAGTGCTTTTTGAAAAACAGCTTCTCTATTTTTTTCATGATTATAAAAAATGTCATATGACATAGAATATTCCTATGCTAAGGCATGTCACTTAGGAAATACATATATTTGAGAACATAGGGATATTAACTTTGTGGCTAACATTTTTATTTGGCATTATAATAGTATTTAAAGAATCAATATTTGCCTGGAAGCATACAAATGAGATTTAGAGTTAATAAACATATTCTAAATATCTTCTTATTTTGTATGACTGTGAGTCATTCTGTGTGATGTGAAGCTAAGAGCTGACGTTCTATGGTAATAGGTCTTTCTCACTGTCTCTCACTCTCTTCAAAGGCCTGCCTTCCAGCAGAATGGAACTATTCTTATGTCAGCTTAATTCAGGAGAATACACAGAAAGAGTAGTGAACTAGCTAAAATATCTTTAAAATTTATCTGCGTATAAGAGTTTGCCCATAAAGCTAAACTAGGGTATTTGATGAAATGTAAAAAGAAAGTTGATAAAGATGTTATTGCTCAATCACAGCAAAAATGTAACCATTTATCAGGTTATTGTGCTTGGAAGAACTGAATGTCCTTGAAAGACTCAAGAATAAAATTAAATCATTATTGATCTAAATTTCAGCCCTTTCTTCATGGTAGAACATTTAATTAGAATAAATCCTTTGGCATCATTATCATCATTTCTATAATAATTAATTCCAGTTATTCACTGATAACATTGCTGGGAGCAGGTGGGGATTTGGGAATTCATTTGCAATGCGAATGTTTAATAACTGTGAATATTGGGTAATTCAGTGTCTTCATTTTTTTTTAAAGTGAATTTATTGAATGCAAACTGAATTTGGTTCTGTGAGGTTATAGTTATGCAGATTTGCAAATCTTCACACATCAAGCCAGGGCGTGGGTGAGAAACTCTATGGTCTTGCTCTGCCAACTTTGAAAAACATTCGCTTCTGGGATTCTCATTCATATGTATATTAAGTGTTCCCCAAACTGTGTTCAAAGGAATATCATTACTGGATGTTGCTATCAGGAACAAGTAGAAAAAGAGTATGTCTTATGTCAAACAAATGATGGAGATACTATATTCTGTATCTACTTCTTGAAGATTCATAAAGTACATTAGTGTAGTCTCAAACATTCTTATAGAGGTTAATTTAATTTTGTTTTATTCCTGGATCCCTAATTTATTTTGGGTTTAAAACTGGTCAAAGACAGCATTCTGTATGACATTTCAGAATTATTCTGCTAGTTTCTCATCCAAGGATTTGCTAGTCTGGTTCATTCTTGACCTTCCTGTCTTCCTTCAGCAGTCCTTTTCTGTTTAGATTGTAATATTGCTTTAGTCGTGGTTGTGCTTGTATTTGTCAGGGAGAGAGAATAAGATAACTTGTGAGGGGTTACAAGAGTGATGCGTGAAGGTTACACTTGAAGGTTTTTATTTCTTTTCTAATTTGAAGATTAAATAGTGAAGAGATTTAGGAAGTTAAAGTTTTTACTCTTGCGCTTACGTTCTTCTCTGGTTTTCTTCTTTTTCTTTGGGTTGTCTCTATCATTGGGTTGGAGCAATGTGGGGAGGCTGAGAGTCGGCAGACCTAGGAAGTTAGAAGAAAATAATCCTGTCAAATCATTTGATGTCGCAGGTTCTTGTGGCACTTTCTGCTGTGGGGGTAGGGGGAGGCCAGCAGAGCACTTTTCACTTTCAACATACCGTGTGTCCTGTCTTTCTAAAAGCAAAAGCCAAGAGTTGGATTGCTCCATCTCTGGAATTTGAATACAGCTCTTACCCTACTCCTATCCTAATCACTACCAAATGTACGTACCTGAATGCCAGCCCTGAGCACCAGGGAGCATATCTTGCTGAGATATTTTAAGCTTTACATGGCAAAGTCAAGTTTCCGAAATTCTCACAAACTGCTTTCTACCAAATTCTTCCTTAAGCCAATTTGGTCATAAAGACACATTATTGTGGGTGTATAATAGCTACATTTATTCTTTAGAGTATTTCTATTGATTGGTTATTATTTTAATTTTGAGTTTTATTTTATTAAACAATGATTACTTGACAGAAAAATATCAAAAAATAAGGTATTTAATTTTTACCATTTATTGAGTGTTTATAAAAAAAATCAACATTTTCAATATTGACTGATTTTTGGTGTACAAAGCCTAAAAAATAGCAGAAATAAATTCCTATATAAACTACAAGAAAAATGCCAATAGAACTCTAAAAAAAAATCTTTAATTATCAGTCCTAAGTCAGTCTTCACACATGACAATAGCATGTTCCATACATATGAAAAATTTATACTGACAACAAATATATTTTGCTTTTCTGATCTTTTAGTAGGACATACTTGACATCTTGCTGGTTTTGCTGCTTTGTCAGGGGTTCTTATTATATTTTACAATGTGTAATTAACATGAACATAAAACATTAATAAAATAAAGTATTAAATTCTTAACATATATCACATGTTTAGATTAAACATCATCATTTTCACATTACTGTGTACTTGCTTACAAAACCTAGAATAAATTCCTTTATGAACTGCAAAAAATACCAATAGAACTCTACAAAGAAAATCTTTGCTTCAATTGTCACACTCAAGGCATTCTTCAACCATGACAATTGCACGCTCCATGCACGTCTAGCTTATACTGACAGCACATACACTTAGCTTTCTTTTCCTGTGTTACAGGTCATTCTTTTTGTCAGGAGCTTCCTACTATATTGTACAATGTATACTTAGCAGGAAAATAAGGTATCAATA